GCGTAAGGCTCTGAAGCAGCTCCTAGAGCTCCCAGTCGTGGAGGACAAAGAACGGCTTCAGAAAGACCTGCAGGACAGGAAGAGGTTTATGGAAGAATTTCCTCAGTTGCAAAAGAAGATAGAGGGAAACATCAGGAAGCTCCGAGCTCTGGCTGACCATCTTGACCAGGTGCACAAGGGCTGTACCATCTCCCACGTGGTGACCAACTCCACTAGCGTTGCCTCTGGAGTCCTGGGCATCCTGGGTCTAGCTCTGGCACCTGTGACAGCAGGGGGCAGTCTGCTGCTCTCAGCCACTGGGTTGGGGCTGGGAACAGTGGCTACTGTGGCCGGTGCTGCCACTGTAGTTGTGGAAGAAACAAACAAGTGGTCAGATGAAGCCAAAGCCAAACGCCTCTTGTCAGACACCATGGATATTATAAAGAAGGTTCTTATCCTGGAAAAGATTGCTCTCACACTTTCTAAAAGGTTCTATGGTGTCTTCAAACAATTGAAAACCTTGGGACAAATCATCCGTGCCATTAGGGTAGCCACAGCCAACCCTCACTTAGTGGCAGATGCCAAGCTCCTCACGACTGCTAGAAGAATCTCTGCCCAACGAGCTAGTCAGGTGAAGAAGGTCTTTGGAGGCACTGCCCTGGCAATGACAAAAAAGGCCCGAATCAGAGGGGCAGCCATTGCAGGTGTCTTCCTCGCAGTGGATGTGTATGACCTTGTAAGAGAATCAGTGCATTTACATGACGGAGCAAAGTCAGAGTCAGCCAAAGAACTGCGGGCGCTGGCTCAGGAGTTAGAGGAGAAGGTGAGAGAGATTGCCAAGATCCACAAAACCCTCCAGGTTTCTTAGTGACAGCCTCCCCTGAGCAACCCAGAGGTCATCTGAGAAGACTTAGACTGATTAGAGACACGAAGGCATTTTTGCTGGAGGAAGAAGGAGGTAGTTAGTCTTAACCGTCATCTTGACACAATCTAGAATCCTGTGGGAAGACAATCTTGATGACTGTCTAGCTCAAGTTGTCAGGCTTGGGAGAGATTTTTCTTTATGACTCTAAATTCCTTCACTATGTGCAGCACTATTCTCTAGGTATGGTTCAGAACTGTATAAGGAAAAGCAGGTTGTGCACGGGAAAGCCTGCATGCAGGAATTCACTTATCATAGCACTGGACTGTGGATGCATTGTGACTAGTTGCTTTGACTTTCTGTCTTGACTTCCTCAATGATGGACCACAGCCTAGAACTATAAGCTGAATAAAAGCTTTCTCCTCTCAGTTGCTTTTCTGTTGAGTGTTTATCACAGCAACAGCAATGAAAGTTGGGAAAGCAAAGAGTGTGGGAGTGAGTCTATAGAACTGAGCGTTGAGGAGTTTATGTTTCTGTGGATCACTGTATGGTTAATATGGATGGCTAGAGAGGCAAAAAAAAAAAGGTGTGACAGCAGATGAACTGAGGGAACAGAGAGGACTAGAGATTGTGGGAATGGGTCTAAAGGCACATAGTGGTTTGTGAGTATGAACAGAGAGGGATGTGCAGGAGCAAGTAATGGGAAGGTCAGGGAAACAGAAGAGCTGGGAGCAGGAGGCTCCAAACCTCCCTCCCCATAGGACAGGCTGTGGGCCACAGCCCTTTCTGTCCAGCATCAGCTGAACCAACTCCTCCTCTGTCCATCGGGCACCTTCCATGTGATGACAGAGGTGCTGAGGATGGTGGCGGTGACACCACAGGGGGTAGAGCTCTTGACAAGGGGCCAGCCCATGAAGGGGACAGGGTGGCTGGAAGGACCAGTGAAATTAAACCCAATCTCCATGTGTCAAGCTGGGTCAGTAGGTGATTTGGGGAGATAGCGGAAGCGATGTTTAAGTAAAAGATCAAGCAGGTTGGGGTGGGTATATTGACTAGTTTAGGATCCTGAGATTCAGCCTGTGAGCCTCGGCCCTCTCAAAGATGGAAGGGGAGTTAGGCAAGATGATGTCTCACATCAACTGGCTCTGCCCACATCTATAACCTACAGTTAAATAAATATTGCTGACCGTTGGGGAAAACTATAATATAAAACGCCCAGCCAAGAGAAGGAGACATGCGACCAAACATGCAGAAAGTGTCAGCCTGTCCTGATTGTAATCTTTACTGTTTTTAATCTTTAAATATTAAGTTTATTTGGAGAAAGTCAAAAATTATTTCAACTGAAAGATAGGATTTTACATCTCAAGGTGTCTCCTAAGTAATGTCTACAGATTACAAATCATTTTCACAGAAGATACCTTTGTACAAATGTTTCATGTATTCAGAAGCTTAAGTCAACCCCTGTCTTATTTTAACTAGGAGAGTGAGTCAGAACCGCCTTCTCTTGGATGCAGTTATTTGAAGAAAAGCAGACAAAGGACAAATTGTCTTTTATTGTCCACAACCACATTCAATGTTGTGGGTCTTTCTCTAAAAGAGCACTTTCTAGCTACTGGCCATCAACTGGATAAGTGTTTGCTATGTCCACTGAACAGCACAGTAAACCAACACTCCCTCACAGCAGACTTAGAGCTTGCATGAAAGGCCATGATGTCATTTGTCTGACTTCCCATCGCAGGAAAACCTGCCATCTCTGGAGTTGATGCCTATAACAGTGCACATCAAAGCACACAGGTCAAGCTACTGTGTTGCCAATAAAAGCAAAACCTTCAACTGCTCTTCCTATTGTTCTCTAGTCCAGAAGGAAGTCAAGAAACCACCCTCAAAAACAGGAAACCTCACACTGTAGGTCACATGATAGACCTGAGCACCAGCATGGGATTCCAGTAAGGGAAACTGTATGTGGTAGGGTATCCGCCAGAGAAGACGACTCAGACACAGGTTTAATCCCATAGAAAGTCTTTATTGGCGGGCCAGTGACTACAAGGGTGTTCAGAATTCCGGTATAGAAAGAAGCCTTTCTCAGGGGGAGCTTTTAAGCACAAAATCCTTATCCTAGGCTGGCATGCTTCAGTTAAGAAGAACAGTTAGCCAGGGGCAGAACTACAGAAGTAAGAAATCAAGGTTAGTATACTTAGAGACTTTCTCAGAAGTACGGACTTTGATGGGTTAAGTCTTTGTTTCCATTCTGTGGTTCTGTCTACATGCTGAGTTTTACAGCCTGAATGATGCTCCCATCATGGAGTCAGTTGTGCTAAGGTATGGAGGCTTACTAAGAGCTGGGGGTCTCCCTCCCTCCCTCCCTCCCTCCCTCCCTCCCACCTGTCATGGAGTCATAACTTCAGTCATGGTCTCTGTGGTCTCAGTAATCATGTCAACCTAAGTTCCATTGTCATTCTTATTTTGGCCGGTGACATCCTATACCCCAGTGCATATCCTAGTACCGTGATGCCCATCCTAGTACCCAGTGTCCATATTAGTACTGGTCTTAATCTTAACCATCTAGATATTTGTCTCCAAAGGGGTCATAGGTTCTCCTATGTAAATGGCCATCAAAGCTGTCTGTGGTGGTCCGGGCCATTCAGACCGTGTCTATTTTGTCAGAATCTTGATTTCTACCTTGACTGAAAGAACTGTCACCCTGTCTTTATCCTATGCTTGATCATCAAAATCCCCTCCAGGCCTTCTGCTATCTAAAGACCCCTCACTGATTCTCAGGGAACTGAGCAGGGAACCTAGGTCCCCTAAGTTGGTGCAACCAAAGTTGTTCAACCTGTCTGGATTGCTGAGTTTGTGAGGAAAGTGCACTGCAATTATATTTACCCCTCTGGAAAATTCCTTAGGGGCTTTTCTGTCCCATCATCACAGAGCAGATTCCTTGGGAAAGAGTTGGAAAGTAACAATTTGGAAAAACTGTTCCAGTTGATATTGGGTTCCCAAGCAGTGCACAGAGCAATGAAAATGGTAGCATAACCAATCAGAGGGGCTGATACGCATCCTTGTCATTACCATGTTAATGATGGGCACATCTCTGCCAGACCATCTGTTTCATCGGTCCCGTTGACTGGTTTGGGGTCAAGGGTGCTTCCTTCACTAGCTTCCCTATACCTAATCCTCAAACAGAAAGTCCTTAATGGACCTGGTCTGCCCATTCTTCTTCTCCTCCTCTTTCTTCATTTGCTGAGGTTGCCATGTTAGGGAGGAGGAGAGAATGCAAAGGTTCCCCTGTACTTTTTAATAGGGAGCCACAGACTACACCAGGGACATGGGCATCAGGAAAGGTGGTGGCCCTGTCAGTTGGCTCAGAGGAAGGATAGTGGTGATGCTTATCAGAGTTAAAATGTGCCTGCTCATGTCTCAAGTGACAGCAATGATGCCAGGCATATTGTTAACATTCACAGCACTGGGGTACAGCTGTTAAGCCCCATGAGCCACTGAAATTGCAGGAACCATGCAGAGAAAGCAGGTCAGGGTGATTTATGACCATTCCAATAGTTCTGATTCAAGGTGTCTTCAGTCACACAATGCTGGATCCCTGGACACACTGAGTCTGTGCTGTGTTAGCCAGCTGACTCCCCTGGGCACCAGCTGTCTGATGTCTATTCGTCCTGAGCCTCTCTCAAGGTGTCAGAAAGCAAGTCCTCTGCTGTGTTTCTGTGTAGCTTTCTCACTCTACAGAGACTCGATTCCTCCAGACTCTGCCCTCTGCAGTCCCGCTAGGGAACCCAGTGAAACTCACTCCTGGCTGGCTGGGCTGAGCTCAGACATATTCCTCACCCAAAAGTCAAGCCTTGGATTGACTGGGCTCAGGGTTCTGTGTGCAGATGTGTATGAAGTGCAGCTGTTGAGTGGCCAAGACAAACATCTGGACAACATCGTTCTTCTCCAAGATTCCTTCTTGCTTTCTTCTCAGCCCCTGGAGAGCTTTGAGGATGGTTGTTTTCATGGTGTTCCTGCCCATTTTCACATAGGACTAGAACGGCCTTTCAAACTATTGTTCTGATTAACTTCTGACTTAGTATTCTCTCCTGGGTTTTATTGCCCTTATAATGAAGATTTCATGCTGTCCATAGATAGATGACTGTTGTATTGAGCAAAGTGGGGCTGTGCACAATCATAAACACAAGTGTGTCATCACACAATTATATTACTTCCCCTGCAAGTCTCAGGGAACACAGAAGTGTGGAGGGAACAGAGACTGTACGAGCTGGGGAAGGGGTAGAGACCTGTGGAACTGTCATTTCCCAATCGAAGCTTTCCATACAGGATGGAGAAGAGATGCTCCTAAGGCTCAAGAAGGTAACAAAATGTGCAAGGCTTAAGACGTTCATAAATTACAAGATACTCAAGGAACCTCCACCCCAACTTTATTAAGGCAGTACGCCTTACCTGCTAGAGACCTTTCCAGTTGGCCCGCCCATAGCTTGTGCAGCAATCTCCAGACTCACAGATTTTATGGGTTGTCACCAATGCAGGAGTGGCTGCTCTGAGATAGCTGTTTTTATGTCACCCACACACCTCTAAGCAACCCCTTAAACAATCTCCTGTAAGTAACCCAAATGAACCTGCTTAGTCACTGATCCAGCCTCAGATATAGTCTTTTTTTTTGTCTGTCACAAGTACCTTTCCTGGCCTAGTGTAACTAGACATTTGTTCATATCTTCCAGGAAAACTCAGGTGCCACTTTGAAATTCCCAGAACACAGATAGCTAGGATCAGGTGAAACAATTCTTGGATCATCATGCAGGGGGTTGATAATTAACCATAACCTGTGGCGCCAACATTTCTGAAGACTTTACCACCCCATTAGACAAAACAAAGAGCTTCAGGAACGTGTGGATGATTGACATGAACATCATTTGCTTATGGGGGACACAGCCAGACAAACTCACCGTCCTCTGTCCTCAAGGCCAGGCAGGAACCGGGAAATGATCTTGTGGTATTTGAAGTGTCCTGACTCATCTTAGGCTCCAGGGTAAATGCAGGGATGAAAATCACATTTTCAGAACCCTTGACAGTCTGAGGATTTCTCTCCCTTTGGTGAGTACGACTGCTTTAAAACAAAGAGAAAACAGGAATCACACCTGGGTATAATCCCAACAGTATCACTCTTAAGCGTAATTTTCTCATTTGCAAACAAGGACGTGTTTGCAGACCAGGGTTGTCTCTGAAGCATCTATAATTTACTTTTTCTACATTTTTAGACTTTTTATTTATTGTTTGTTTTTCTCCTCATGTATCTAGATCCCAATCATCTCCCCATTTCTTAATATTCGCCCTCTGCCCTTCTACTCTTCCCCCAAAATGAACTAAAATAAAATGTAAGGGAGAAAAAGAAAGAAAAATCTCATCATGGAAGCTGCACTGGGACACAGTAATTCATGCAGTAAACCCTTTTGTCCATGTATCTTTACCTCAAGCGGTCATTGCGAAGTCTTTGATCTGGTTCAAGGCCTCTGGTTTCTGCTACACTATCGATGCTGGGCCCTCACTGGGACTCCTCTTAGATATCCTGTGGCTGCCCTGTGTCATGAGATCCTGCAGCTTTGAGACTGCAGGACCGGCCCTTTCAAGTGCTCCAGCAGATCACAGATGGGGTGGATGCTGTAGTGGGTGAACTCAGAACCACAGTTCTGGGCCTGGGTAGTCGCAGGGTTGGTCAGCCAGCCAGCTCTCCCCCAACGGCATGACCAGCGCTGCCCTGGCTAGTGCACCATATGCAGCAAGGAGTAAGGGACAGGGGCAGTTCTTCTGTTCTCAGGCCCTCAGATCTCTCCCACACCTACGCCACCAGGGCCAGCTCTACTGTGTTGCACAGGTGAGGTGCCAAGGCCACTCTCTTGAGAGCTGCAGCTGGTGATGGATGGAACAGCTCTCCCACTGTGATGACCTCAGACCAGCTCCCCCACCTGCCACAGGTGATGAAGGGAAGACTGGCAGAGAGGGCATGTCTCCCCGATCCACACCACCCTATTGCAGGTTAGGGGCAGGGCCAGTTCTCCCAAACTCGGATTCCCTAGACCATTTCACCCACACCTCTGACAGCAAGGTCAGCTCTATTGTGCTGCCCAGGGGAGGTGTAGGGCTCACTTTCCCAAAGGCTGCAGCTGGTAAACAGGAGGATCAGCTCCCTGTCAGCTGGAGATGGCAGGGGCAAGGGAGGAGGGCACCTTTGCCTTGCTCCCACTATCACACTGCAGACAAAGGAGGCAGTACCAGCTATCCCAATCTCATTTCCTCTGGGCAGACTCAGCAGTGCCCCTCCTGCAGGGTCAGCTCTAATGTGCTGCCCAGGTGAGATGTGGGGCCCATTATCCCGAATTCTGAAATTGATCACAAGTTGTGTCTGTTCCCCTTCCTGATGCAGACGACAAGGGAGAAGGGCAACTTCTCTCACCCATGATACCACACGGCAGAGGAGGGGGTGCAACCCATTCTCCCATTCTTATGCCCTCAGGGCCATCTCACTTGCCCCCCAAACAGGGTCACGTCTATTATGCTGCCCAAGTGAGGTGCGGGACCCTCTCTCCTGAGTGCTTCTGCTGGTGAGGGGCAACACCACTTCTCCCTAGTGTTGCAGAGGGGTCGGGACAACTTTGGACAATCCTATCCTCTGGGCTTTCAATAGTATCAGGAGCCAGAGACATCAACACAGACCATGGATGTAACAGGGCCATGAACCCAGACAAGGGCCCCGGGGCAGCAGGTCAGGCCCAGACATCACCATGGCCCTGGATGGCAATCAAGTCAGCACCTCAGCCTGCTCCTCACCACTGTCACCTCTTCAGATGTGCTTGTGTCCCTGGGAAGTGAGGAGATGAACCATTATCATTCTCTGTCTGTCTGTCAGTCTGTCTATATATCTATCTAATTATCATCTATCTATCTATTATCTATCTATCATCTATCTATTATCTACTTATCTATCTATCTATCTATCTACCTACCTACCTACCTCTATCTGTCCCATAACATTTGCTCACCATAATAATGCCCAACTGCCCAGCGGCATAAGGCACCAGGCAAACTTGTATTTTCTCTTTGAAGCCCAGAGTATACAGCCCCAGGCATGCATATGAGCCTCCTTGTCCTGCTCAGTCTGTCACGGCGCTGGGCAGGATCTTGCTATCTCTTCCTATAATTTTCCTAAGTCAATGCATTGCAATTGTTTCTTTTCTTTAATTTTTTAAATATCTATTTCTTATTCATATTTGATGTATGTGGGTTTTTAGCCTGCATGTTTGTGGCTGCACTACATGCATGCCTGGTCCAAGGAGGCCAGAAGACGGTGCTGGATCCTCTGGAATTGGAACTAACGATGGTTGTAAGCTGTCCTCTGAGTGCTGGGAATTGAACCCTGGTCATTGACAAGAACGACAATGGTGAATCACAGCCTTGTGAGTCTCTTAACTTCTGAGCAATCTCTCCAGACCCCTTTGACTATCATTTTTTTCCAAAGAAGTTTGGATTTGAGATGTCTCTCAGCCCAAGACTGGATAAAGAAAATGTGGTCTATTTACAAAATGGAGTACAATTCAGATGTTAAAAAAAAAACATGATGTCATGAAATTTTCAGACAAATGAATGGAACAAGAAAAAAATCATCCTAAGCAAGATAACCCAGAACCAGAAGGACAAAAATGTTATGTACCCACTTGTAAGTGGATATTAGCTGTTAAGTAAAGGATAATCATGCACAATCCACAGACCCAGAGAGGCTAAGTAACAAGGAGGGCTCTAAGAGAGATGCATGGATCCCCTAGGAAGGGGAAATAGAATAGATTTGTGGGTGGACTTGGGGAACAGATGGGGAGTGGAGGAATGGAGAGACAGATGACTGGATTAGGTGGGCATTGAAGGGGCAGAATGAAAACCTAGTGCGGTGGAAACTTCCTAAAATCTATCAGGTCGACCCTAGCGAGGACTCCTAGCAATGGAGGATATGCAGCTGAGCTGCCATCATCTGTAACCAGTCAGGCTCCCAGTGGTGGGACAGGGTCACCAATCCTGCCACAAAACCTTTGACCCTGCTGACAAGAGGCACTGAGGCAATGGTGACTCAGAGTCTGTGGGTGTGGCCAACCAATGACTAGTCTAACTTGAGGCCCAAGCCACAAGAGGGAGCCCACAGCCAACACTGCCTGGAAGGCCAGGGACTGGAAGCTACTGGGCTCACAGACCTAGGGTAGAACCAAACAGGACTGAGAAAAAAAATGTCAGTGAGCTGATTCCTAATTGTTCTGCTCTACTCACAGGATTAGTCTAGCTCAATCGTCACCAGAGAGGTTTTCTCCAGCAGCTGATGGGAGCAGATGCAGAGACCCACAGCCAAACATTAGAAGGAGCTCATGGGACCCTACAGAAGAAGAAGAGGAAGGACTGTAGGAGCCAGAGGGGCCAAGGACACCAGGAGAACACAGCCCACAGAATCATCTAACCATGACTCCCAGGGGTTCACAGAGACAGAAGTGTCAATAACAGAGACTGCCTGGGTCTACTCTAGGACTCTGCAAACAGGCTGTGGTTGTTTAGCTTGGTGTTTTTCTGGGCTCCCAACAGTGGGAGGGGGGTGTGTTCAATTCTTTTGCCTGCTTGCAGGACACTTTTCTCCACCTGGGTTGTTTCCAGCCTTGATATCAGGGTTTCTGCCTAGTCTTACCGTATCTTGTTATGCCATGCTTGGTTGATATCCCTGGGAAGCCTGCGCTTTTCTGAAGGGAAATGGAGGAGCAGTAGATCGGGGGGAGGGGGAAACTGGGGCGAGGAACTGGCAGAAGGGGAGGGAAGAGAGGCTGTGATCAGGATGTATTGCATGAGAGAAGAATAAGTTTTTAAAGAAAAATTAGATTTTTGAAGCTGTGGTAAAATATCCATATGGCCCACTGTAAGCACTCCTGTATGTGTGTGTGTGTGTGTGTGTGTGTATGTGTGTGTGTGTGTGTGCATGTGAGCAACATCTCCAGCATCCAGATCTCTTCATCTGTGGGCTGACACTGCTCTCCACAACCTCTGGAACCACCACGGGCTTCTCCACTGTGGGCTCTCCCTTCCCTGTTGTCCTCATGAAGGAGACATGCAGCATCTGTCCTTCTGTGTTCAGTTTATTTCGTCTACACTCCAGGCTTCACTGTGTTGTGTGAGTCAGAATTCCCTGCCCATTAAAGCTGAGAGATTCCACTCACAGTCTCACTCAGTTCAGCTCACAATGGACATCCAGGCTGTGCCTTGACAGTTGTCAATCAAGTTGCTATGAACGTAGGAGAACAAACATCTCCCTGTGCGTCTGTTTTCATTGCTGCTTCTGTGCATTTACTCGGAAGGGGATTGGCTGGTAATGAGGCATTTGTGTAATTGGGGTGACCCTCCACCCTGGTTACAGAAGCCAGGTACAGTGGATTTCAAGACTTTGCTATGACATAAGAATGACACCTGCCAAGTCTCCGATGTCCTCTAACTCGGAGTATAGGTGGGGAGACCAGATGGTACCTTTAAAACTTGCTACAGAGCTGTCTGGTGATGTGACTTTCATAACAAGTCCCCTCTCCCACTCAGGAATCTTCTGATCATGAGACCATGTCCTCTCCCTGGATGAACTTTGTAGGCAACTTCCAAACTATCAGCAGCAAGTCTCTAGGTGATTTCCAACTTTTCTGGGTCAATTCTGGTCAGCTCATTCTGGTATAATCCAAAAGCTGCTGTGCTCACTCAGCAAATGGACCTGCTGCTCCTGACGATTGCACATGTGGCAAACTGAGGGCAAAGTTATCTGTGCTTCAAACAAAAATATTACATTCATGGCCTAGAGTCCATCATCTTTATGTACAGTTCAACAATTGCTTATAGTCTAGAGGCTGAGAAGCAATATTTGCACTTGGTTCGAAAACTTGGAACCTTCTTGAAACTGACACTTGTTATCTTGGGCCTGGTTTTTCCATAATGAGCAAAGACAAATCAGATGTTCATGGGGTACAAGTGTCCAGACTGTGATCATGTGGAGCAGTAGCTGTCCTTCCTCTCCCAGGGAGCCACCTGGGGCTCTCAACACAGCACACTTACTCTCACCCCTGTGTTTTCCCGACATGGGGGGTTTGTCTGTCCTGGCCATTAGATGATTTCAGAAGCCACCAAGTCACAGGCTCATTTGGAAGATCCCAGTTGCTAGAAGAAGAGAGACCAGCAGTAGGTGAGTGCTGTTCTGGGCCATGATTTCTCCAGTGTATGGACTGTGATAGGGTAACCATGGTGATCAGACATCTTGGTCACTGACCCCTCCTCTAGGAGATGCTATTGTCCACACATCGCCCCCTAGAGCTCCTTCAGTTAATGCTTCCCATTGCATCAGAGTCACATTCCTTTGGGCTAAAATAACCTCTAGATCATCCTCAACTCTTAAATGACAGCCACCCTGAGTAACATTTCTTGTCATGTCACTGGTCAACTGAGTTGCTGTTAGTAGATCTTTCAAGGTGTCCAGGTGGGGCGAAACTAATCTTAAAGACCCCTACTCTACTCCCTCACCATGAGAGTCTACAGCTCCACCCTGCTGCTCCTCTCAGAGACTGTTCAAGACTCTGCGAACATTCCAGTGTATTCTGTACTCTGCAGAGGGCCCACATCCCTGCTAGTCTGCAGTTCCTGTGGACCCTTTCACAGTCCTGCATCACACGTGATGTTCTCTGACTGGCTAACTGAAGTCATGCTAATAAAGGGACAGATGTCAGTGTAAGGAAACCTGACAGAAGAAACATGGTCAACAATAGCTGGAAACCAGAAAGTATGGCCAGGAAAATTCATGAGAGAGCCAAATAGCTTCTAGGGCCAAAATGTTCTCTTGGTTTTTGATGTCCTTATTCCAGAAGGCAGAGACCGTCTTTCTCTAAAGATCACAACATAGCCATGTACAGTAGCAAATGCTTAGCAACTCTCTGTGTTTATGGTGCTGAACTTACCTTTTCTCCATCTGAGAGACTGGATCAGGTCAGTCAGTTTTGCTCTGTGGGCTGAGACACCTGACTGGACTTTAAAACACTGCAGTTTATATATATGTAAGGCCTCTTCTCTCAATCCGTTCTCTTTTATTAAACACCTTTGAGCTACCTCCAGCAACTGGGACTCATTTAAACCTTTACATTTTTCTAATTTTAAAACATTTTCTAATATCTGTGGCCAACTGGGAGACAAAGGAAATCTTTTCAGCAGCTGTTGTTCATCCTTCTAGAAAGGACCCAGCAAAAAGTATTTGAAGTCCCCGTGGTCAGTGTTGCACAGAAGGGAAAATCCATTCTGTCCAGGAAGAATTGTTCTGCACTAATCCTCACCCTGACAAGATCTCGCGGTGGGGGGGGGGGCTCTACATTTTTAGAAAATGCTAGGTTTTGAGTTTTCCCATTGCATAGATTGCTTTATGAAAAGGACACATAAATAATGGAAGAGGAAGGCGTGGAACTTCCTCTTTTGCTCAGGGAACTTTTCCCATTCCCAGGGGTTGCATAGAGAAAGGGGTAGGAGTAGAGCAAGCGTGTGGCTTGGGAAACTTTTCTCCTCCACGTGCACATTGTGCTGAGATGTCAGCCTAAGAGCGACAGGGTTGATCTGTGGAGGGTTCCCAGGTCTGAAGTAGCAGTTTTTTCTCCACCAGATCACAGAGACCCCCATTTGAAATGGGCTCAGCCAAAAACCTAGATTGTCAGAACTAAGGTCACTCCTTTGAGTCAGCAGGAAGCGTGCATCCAGCAAACCACAAGTTTCCTGTGTTTGTCAGTTCCTTGCCAAGTGGGGATTTCACTTTCGTTTTCTGGTTTGGGTAAATTAGCAGGAGGCCATGTTCAATAATCACTTGGAAGCACAGCTGGTCACTGTGTCCACACAGCTAAGGACTGTCCAGCCCCATCTGAATTCATCCTGTTGAAGATTCCTGGTAAGTTGGGGAATGTCTAAGCTCTCACGCCTGCATACCCCCATAGTTACTCTGAAGGAGGATCGTGATTAGTTCAGCAAGGTCAGGCATCTGCCTCGGGTGACAGACACAGCAGCAATGAAGCTGCCTTTGCAGCCAGGGTGGGGTCAGGCTGCTCCCCCCTTTCCATCTGCCGTAAGTGCAAGATAGGATGAGGGGCTCCTCAGACGGGCCTATAGAATCTATAGCACTCAGCACGTGCACCAGGTTCCTGACACGTGACCGGGAGACCTCAGGGAGGAGTCTGCTCTCAGAGTCCCTCCTCTGAGAAAGGGAGGAAGCAACAAGATAGGGGATAGGGGACCACACATCTCTGTTTGGGGGCCTGGACATGCAGAATGGCTCTGAGTGATGTGACTTAAGCAGAATGGGGACAAGAACGGCTTTTTGAGACACAAGGACCCGAGGGTTTTCCACCCATTTTTCTCTGAACCCACACTCTGAGTCAGGCCTTGTGAGGAAACTGTGGCTTCATGAGAGAGAGACTTGACCAGGATTCTGGGACAGGGGCTAAGCAGGTGGCTGGCAGCCATTTACCTTCTGGGCTTTGCCTGGCCTCTGCTCACCTATTAGGGGATGAGTGGACAGGGAAGAGCCTCTCATATGTCCATGTGCTGTTTGGACACACAACACACACACACACACACACACACACACACAAGCTTGCATTGTATTTTCAGACCTAGCTCTAGGAAGCCAAGTTTTGGGAGTGCTCTCTGGGGGTCACTGGACTCGGGTTTGCTTGACTATCGTAGAATGACTGGAAACTTGATTCCTTCTCTCCTTTGGCCTTAAAACACATCAGCTGCCAGCCACTTCTGTCTCCCTGCGCATGATTTCCTGGATGTGTGCTTGGACTCTGCCCGCTGGATACTTGGGGTCAGATGAGGTCACATCGAAGCACATTAAACATTAGCTGGTGTAAGAAAGGCTGCCTTTGAGAAAGGCTCTGACAGGAAATCGACCTCTAGCATGAGCTTTGTTAGGAGAGAAAGTCACCATGGGCAGGATGTGGTTGGGCTTCAAGATAAAATAACACTCAGGGGACAGAGGATCTTTAGAGGTGATGTGACAGAGCCTTAAAGGAAGCTTCACTCTAAGACCTGGAGATCCATTGAAAAATAAAGTCTAATTAAATAATAAGATAGACAGCCACCATGGACAGCAAGGTAGAAGGACATAAGGCTGGGGAGGGAAGAGAGAATGAATAAGAGAGTGAGATAAAAATTCCCTCAATTTTATAATGTATCCCCAGAGTCTGGAGAGCCTGGCCAGAGCTCAAAGCCAATATCATAGTAGGTGTCTGATTGACTCTGAATGACAGAAATAAGGAAAAACATTGGTTCACACGTTCCTATCACATCCTTTGGTAATAGAGCCCACCACGATAGAAGGTGGGGACCAGAGAGGCATGGGGACATGGTCTGATTTCTCAAAGACAGCTTGGAGGCTGGGAGGAAGGAAAGGAGGGATGAAGGGAGGAAAAGAGGAAGGGGGATTGAGGGAGGGAGTGGGAGGACAGGTAAGTGGTCTAACAACTAGGTCTTGCTGATTGTCCTCAAAAATTCTGGAATCTTCTACAACCATCAACCTCAAAGGCAGTGTAGGTGCCACAGCAGGTCATTGACTGACAGCAGATTTCAATCCTTTGGCTTGTTGTGTTTCCTGACCCTGTGTGTCTACAGAGGAAATGGAGAGACAAGGAAGAAAGTGACTCTGCCAAGGTGCCCTAAGTCTCAAGTCCCTGG